GTTGTTGTTGTAGTTGTTGATGTTTTTGCTGTTGTTGTTGTTGTTGTTGTTGCTGTTGTTGTTGTTGTTATTGTTGTTGTTGTTGTTGTTGTTGTTTTTGAATTTTGAAGTCTATATTCTCACGGTGGTGTTGCTGTTGTCGTTGTTTTGGTTGTTGTTGTTGTTGTAGTTGTTGATGTTTTTGCTGTTGTTGTTGTTGTTGTTGCTGTTGTTGTTATTGTTGTTGTTGTTGTTGTTGTTGTTGTTGTTGTTGTTGTTGTTGTTGTTGTTGTTGTTTTTGAATTTTGAAGTCTATATTCTCACGGTGGTGTTGCTGTTGTTGTTGTTTTGGTCGTTGTTGTTGTAGTTGTTGATGTTTTTGCTGTTGTTGTTGTTGTTGTTGCTGTTGTTGTTATTGTTGTTGTTGTTGTTGTTGTTGTTGTTTTTGTTGTTGTTGTTGTTGTTGTTGTTGTTGTTGTTGTTGTTGTTGTTGTTGTTGTTGTTGTTGTTGTTGTTGTTGTTTTTGAATTTTGAAGTCTATATTCTCACGGTGGTGTTGCTGTTGTTGTTGTTTTGGTTGTTGTTGTTGTTGTAGTTGTTGATGTTTTTGCTGTTGTTGTTGTTGTTGCTGTTGTTGTTATTGTTGTTGTTGTTGTTGTTGTTGTTATTGTTGTTGTTGTTGTTGTTTTTGAATTTTGAAGTCTATATTCTCACGGTGGTGTTGCTGTTGTTGTTGTTTTGGTTGTTGTTGTTGTTGTAGTTGTTGATGTTTTTGCTGTTGTTGTTGTTGTTGCTGTTGTTGTTATTGTTGTTGTTGTTGTAGTTGTTGTTGTTGTTGTTGTTGTTGTTTTTGAATTTTGAAGTCTATATTCTCACGGTGGTGTTGCTGTTGTTGTTGTTTTGGTTGTTGTTGTTGTAGTTGTTGATGTTTATGCTGTTGTTGTTGTTGTTGTTGCTGTTGTTGTTATTGTTGTTGTTGTTGTTGTTGTTGTTGTTTTTGAATTTTGAAGTCTATATTCTCACGGTGGTGTTGCTCTTGTTGTTGTTTTGGTTGTTGTTGTTGTTGTAGTTATTGATGTTTTTGCTGTTGTTGTTGTTGTTGTTGCTGTTGTTGTTATTGTTGTTGTTGTTGTTGTTGTTGTTGGTGTTGTTGTTGTTTTTGAATTTTGAAGTCTATATTCTCACGGTGGTGTTGCTGTTGTTGTTATTTTGGTTGTTGTTGTTGTTGTTGTAGTTGTTGATGTTTTTGCTGTTGTTGTTGTTGTTGTTGCTGTTGTTGTTATTGTTGTTGTTGTTGTTGTTGTTGTTGTTGTTGTTGTTTTTGAATTTTGAAGTCTATATTCTCACGGTGGTGTTGCTGTTGTTGTTGTTTTGGTTGTTGTTGTTGTTGTAGTTGTTGATGTTTTTGCTGTTGTTGTTGTTGTTGTTGTTGTTGTTGTTGCTGTTGTTGTTACTGTTGTTGTTGTTGTTGTTGTTGTTGTTGTTGTTTTTGAATTTTGAAGTCTATATTCTCGCGGTGGTGTTGCTGTTGTTGTTGTTTTGGTTGTTGTTGTTGTTGTAGTTGTTGATGTTTTTGCTGTTGTTGTTGTTGTTGCTGTTGTTGTTATTGTTGTTGTTGTTGTTGTTGTTGTTGTTGTTGTTGTTGTTGTTTTGGTTAGGGTTGTTGTTGTAGTTGTTGATGTTTTTGCTGTTGTTGTTGTTGTTGTTGTTGCTGTTGTTGTTATTGTTGTTGTTGTTGTTGTTGTTGTTGTTGTTGTTTTTGTTGTTGTTGTTTTTGAATTTTGAAGTCTATATTCTCACGGTGGTTTTGCTGTTGTTGTTGTTGTTTTGGTTGTTGTTGTTGTTGTAGTTGTTGATGTTTTTGCTGTTGTTGTTGTTGTTGTTGTTGCTGTTGTTGTTATTATATAGAATATTTTTCAGAAAAAGTCTTTCTGAAAAATATTCTTTTCGAAAAATAAAATAAAAAAATCTTTTAAAAAAAGAAAATAAAAAAATGCACATGCTTAGTAGGTCTATATGTATAAATGTAGTTTTATTTTTAAAAAATAAATATAAAAAATGTAAGTACAACGTACTATAGTCGCCTGCTCTCCCTAAAGAAGCCCCAGAAAGCTAAGGAAATAAGAAAATAAGAATAGAGAATCTTCTTGACAACCCTCCCATTGCACGCATACATTGACCACATGTCATAAAAGTGACAAGTGAACTGTCATGCTGTTGCTCATCACTGTCACTTCTCTTATTCCTTATAGTCTTATTTCCTTAAATTTCACGCACGTTCGTAAGGAGATCCACCTCCTGCCAAGATGCAGATGCACACCAACACCACCTACACATACACCACCTACACATACACCAGATATACACACACCACTACTACCACCACACACCATACCACCGGAGTTTTTTCCTGTTTTCGAACAAACCAGACACTTAGACAGGAGAAGTACTAGCCCCCATACCCACACCCCTGTATTGCCCCCCCAAAAAGATAGATCATAGATCCATTGAAGAAGTTGACTTCATTCCATATTTATTAAATGTGTGGGTATGGGGGCTAGTACTTCTCCTGTCTAAGTGTCTGGTTTGTTCGAAAACAGGAAAAAACTCCGGTGGTATGGTAACATTCTTTCAAAGCCATATACATTCTTTCTATCCCTCATACATTCTTTCTATTCCTCATACATTCTTTACAAAAACAATACATTCCTTCTCTACACTAAACATTCCTCTTCTCCTTTTTTTCCTTAAATTTAATAAATATGGAATGAAGTCAACTTCTTCAATGGATCTATGATCTATCTTTTTGGGGGGGCAATACAGGGGTGTGGGTATGGGGGCTAGTACTTCTCCTGTCTAAGTGTCTGGTTTGTTCGAAAACAGGAAAAAACTCCGGTGGTATGGTGTGTGGTGGTAGTAGTGGTGTGTGTATATCTGGTGTATGTGTAGGTGGTGTATGTGTAGGTGGTGTTGGTGTGCATCTGCATCTTGGCAGGAGGTGGATCTCCTTACGAACGTGCGTGAAATTTAAGGAAATAAGACTATAAGGAATAAGAGAAGTGACAGTGATGAGCAACAGCATGACAGTTCACTTGTCACTTTTATGACATGTGGTCAATGTATGCGTGCAATGGGAGGGTTGTCAAGAAGATTCTCTATTCTTATTTTCTTATTTCCTTAGCTTTCTGGGGCTTCTTTAGGGAGAGCAGGCGACTATAGTACGTTGTACTTACATTTTTTATATTTATTTTTTAAAAATAAAACTACATTTATACATATAGACCTACTAAGCATGTGCATTTTTTTATTTTCTTTTTTTAAAAGATTTTTTTATTTTATTTTTCGAAAAGAATATTTTTCAGAAAGACTTTTTCTGAAAAATATTCTCGAAAAATAAAATAAAAAAATCTTTTAAAAAAAGAAAATAAAAAAATGCACATGCTTAGTAGGTCTATATGTATAAATGTAGTTTTATTTTTAAAAAATAAATATAAAAAATGTAAGTACAACGTACTATAGTCGCCTGCTCTCCCTAAAGAAGCCCCAGAAAGCTAAGGAAATAAGAAAATAAGAATAGAGAATCTTCTTGACAACCCTCCCATTGCACGCATACATTGACCACATGTCATAAAAGTGACAAGTGAACTGTCATGCTGTTGCTCATCACTGTCACTTCTCTTATTCCTTATAGTCTTATTTCCTTAAATTTCACGCACGTTCGTAAGGAGATCCACCTCCTGCCAAGATGCAGATGCACACCAACACCACCTACACATACACCACCTACACATACACCAGATATACACACACCACTACTACCACCACACACCATACCACCGGAGTTTTTTCCTGTTTTCGAACAAACCAGACACTTAGACAGGAGAAGTACTAGCCCCCATACCCACACCCCTGTATTGCCCCCCCAAAAAGATAGATCATAGATCCATTGAAGAAGTTGACTTCATTCCATATTTATTAAATTTAAGGAAAAAAAGGAGAAGAGGAATGTTTAGTGTAGAGAAGGAATGTATTGTTTTTGTAAAGAATGTATGAGGAATAGAAAGAATGTATGAGGGATAGAAAGAATGTATATGGCTTTGAAAGAATGTTACGTGGGCTTGGATATTATAGGATGCGCTTATTTGGAAGGAAAAGGGGTTCACCCTTCAGTGAAATAGGAAACAAAGTATTAGAAACCAGGAGGAATAAGGAAAGAAAACTAATGCTACCATAGCGTTGAACGGAGGAATCTACGCAGTTGGTTGTTGTATAGAAAATTCAATGTGGAGAAGAGAGCATTCATGTGGAGTACTTGATTGGTTAAACAGATAACGGGGCGAGGGAAGGGTGATTCTTCCATGGTCATGAAAACATTCCTGGGTTCGGAGTTGAGACGTATTTTGAAAATCTCGACTTCTTCTTTGAGAAGTGGATGGGGGTACTTGGTGTAGATGTAAAGGAGTGAAAGTACAGCATCCTTTATAGTGATGTATTCATGGCTGGTTGTGTCCTCCAAAAACAACATCCATTCATCATGATGCTTGGACATGAAGTATTGTATCTCATCGATGACAGTGATGATACTTTCATATACATCCTCATATTTGCGAGTGTATTTTATACGGATGGCAGTTTGTAAGAGAGATATTAACGCATGTACAAATTCACGTACTGTTGTTGATTGTTGATAATGAAGTGGGGTTTCCCATTTATCTCTGAAGGATTTACTAAGTGGCGTCACACTGATCCTCCACTTTCTGTCTGTTGCAACTCCCATAGAAAACAGGAAATTCAGTACATGGGTTGGATTTCCATCACTAGAATAAACATCACCACGGAGGAGTTTTACACTGTATCCATCGAGGTGGTCATAAAAATCGCACCTTCCAGAAACGTCCTTCAGGTATTTTATGCAAATGGTGGAGCTGGCAAGTAAGGTTTTTTTATGTAGATAAGGGCGGCCTTCAGTTGAAACCAGAGGAAGAGCAACATAAGCACACAATTCAATGGGTCCTGACATATCAGTTGTTGAAGTTGGCAATGTCGATTTTTGCAACGTGAAAAACGAAAGTATGACCTGGCCCGGATAGCTTCGTCTCGGTTTTCACCTGGTGGTGGTATTGTGGTAGGTCCTCCTCCTCCTTCTCCTGGTCCTCCTCCTCGTCGTGCTCCTCGTCGTTGTCCTCCTCCTTTTGCTCTGGTTCGGTCTTTATCCTGTCGTCCCTGTCCTCCGTCTCCTTTTTGTCCTGGACGTTGTCGATCACCTTTTCTGCTGTAGTGGCTGTTGGCAAAGTCGTTGACTGACTATAGGGAGTAACTAAATCAACAATGGGTGTGGACTCTGTGCCGACTGGGTGGACTTTATACCTCCTGCACAATGCTTCTCGTTGAGCATGCGTCATATCCGTACCATCACCCTGGTTATCGAATGCCAGTTGCGCAGGCTTTTCAGGAACATCGTTATCAGGAAGATTAGTCACAGTTTCAGTACTGGATGCGGAATAAGGGACAGCCTCAACTGGTTGAGTGTCCTGCATGCCTTGGAGGAGGGCTTCGAAAATATTCATTCCATATTTATTAAATTTAAGGAAAAAAAGGAGAAGAGGAATGTTTAGTGTAGAGAAGGAATGTATTGTTTTTGTAAAGAATGTATGAGGAATAGAAAGAATGTATGAGGGATAGAAAGAATGTATATGGCTTTGAAAGAATGTTACGTGGGCTTGGATATTATAGGATGCGCTTATTTGGAAGGAAAAGGGGTTCACCCTTCAGTGAAATAGGAAACAAAGTATTAGAAACCAGGAGGAATAAGGAAAGAAAACTAATGCTACCATAGCGTTGAACGGAGGAATCTACGCAGTTGGTTGTTGTATTATTATTATTATTTTGCTTGTTCGCGTTGGCATCAACCTGCATAAAGCAGGTATATAGCCTTCGCTTAAGCTGCCATAAAAAAGAAAGCTCATCCTAAGCGAGAGGGCTAGAGGGAAATATAACGATAACGAGATACAGAATACAAAGAAATCCAATGAGTTCAACGTACAATTCAAAACAAGAAAGAAAGGGAAGAAAAACAGAGCCGAATCTACCGATTGATCCATCAATCGACAAAGGGGACTAATCCGTTAGTGTTGCAAAGTAGAAGCTGATTATAGTTGCAGATCTCCAGGCCAGGGCCAGCATATTGCCGATTCTGGATAGGTCTCCGCAGCATTTGATGTGGTAATTATCATAATGTTTGATAAAATTGTTAGAGTATCTAGTATCTAGAGTACCGAGTCTCTAGTATCTAGAGTATCTAGTGTAATTGTATCCGTTATTATTGTTAAGGGTATCTAGTGTAATTGTATCCGTTATTATTGTTAAGGGTATCTAGTGTAATTGTATAACTTCAGCCATTACACACAGCACACATTAGATCCTTCCACTTTCGACGATCCTGGGCGAGCTGCCTCAGTGCAACTAGATCCTCGTGTGATGTGAGGGAGTTTGTGGATCTGGAATTTTTCAGGTCGTTGTTGATGGATCGCGGGAGTGTTGTTCTCGGGCGGCCTGCATTGAGGTTGATTCGAGAGCGACTCTCACCGCGACCAGCATTGGATATTCAGCTTCAATTGCCCAATGAAACAGCGTATGCGGATGACGTAGACTTCATCAGCACCAGCCTACAATATTTGCATGACAATCAACCCATACTATCATCCTCGTTAGCGGAATACAATCTAAAAATGAATGAAGCCAAAACCGAATATACTACAATTAAAAGAGAAAAGGACAGAGTAGACGAGCGATGGCGGAACACGGTCAAACTAGGATCGATGCTTGGAGTGGAGGAAGATATCAGTCGGAGAAAACGTCTAGCAACATGCGCCTTACATCAGCTGTGGGTGATATGGCTAAGAGGTAACCATGCCCGTGAACCCCTTCGGATTAGGTTATACGGCAGCTTTATTCTCCCAATACTTCTTTATAACTGCGGCACATGGAGCCTGACAGAGACTCAAGAAAAGAAACTTGACTCGTTCCACCGCCAGCAGTTACGGGCAGTCATAGGGGTCAAATATCCCCGTATAATACGCAATGAAGCACTGTACAAGCGCACTGGCTCCAAGCCACTCAGCAGAATCATCCAGTCTGCTAGGTGGAGAATGTTTGGCCACATGCTTCGACTAGACACCTCATCCCCGGTCCAGCAGGCTATGTCGGCATACTTTCAGCCAGGAAGCTCAGGGTTCCGAGGCCGCCCGAGAACAACACTCCCGCGATCCATCAACAACGACCTGAAAAATTCCAGATCCACAAACTCCCTCACATCACACGAGGATCTAGTTGCACTGAGGCAGCTCGCCCAGGATCGTCGAAAGTGGAAGGATCTAATGTGTGCTGTGTGTAATGGCTGAAGTTATACAATTACACTAGATACCCTTAACAATAATAACGGATACAATTACACTAGATACCCTTAACAATAATAACGGATACAATTACACTAGATACTCTAGATACTAGAGACTCGGTACTCTAGATACTAGATACTCTAACAATTTTATCAAACATTATGATAATTACCACATCAAATGCTGCGGAGACCTATCCAGAATCGGCAATATGCTGGCCCTGGCCTGGAGATCTGCAACTATAATCAGCTTCTACTTTGCAACACTAACGGATTAGTCCCCTTTGTCGATTGATGGATCAATCGGTAGATTCGGCTCTGTTTTTCTTCCCTTTCTTTCTTGTTTTGAATTGTACGTTGAACTCATTGGATTTCTTTGTATTCTGTATCTCGTTATCGTTATATTTCCCTCTAGCCCTCTCGCTTAGGATGAGCTTTCTTTTTTATGGCAGCTTAAGCGAAGGCTATATACCTGCTTTATGCAGGTTGATGCCAACGCGAACAAGCAAAATAATAATAATAATAATAAAATATTCTCACGGTGGTGTTGCTGTTGTTGTTGTTTTGGTTGTTGTTGTTGTTGTAGTTGTTGATGTTTTTGCTGTTGTTGTTGTTGTTGTTGTTGTTGTTGTTTTTGAATT